TACCCTACGGAGTGGTGAGATGTCTTTACTTTTGAATGTCAGTAAAGCATATAAATTACTGTAAACAAGTCAAAAATTAAATACTGATTCAAATGAGCAGCCGTTGCATAAACAGGTAATGACATTAAACAAAAAAAGAAAAAAAAATGCCCTTAATGTAGATTTTGAATAATTGTAAACCACAATAGTAAAAACAAAGTTGGTCTTTTGGTCTATTTTTTGATGTTGGCTCGACATAGCTATGTCAAAGTAAAATCAGTTTTAAAAATCCTTTGTTTAATGTTGGCCTTATACACAATATGTACAAGATGGATCGATAGCTTTGTGTTTACAATTGAACTGTTTGACATTTGAACTGACAGTTGACATTTGGAGAAATATGGGATTTTTGATTGTGTGCTGCAGAAAAACTGTAAGTTCCACCAATTAGCTTAAATTAAGCTTACTAAGTTAGAAAATTGTGTTGAAATATTGAACATAGCTCAAAGCTCTAGAAAGAAAATGGTCAATATTAGCCTATGGGAAATGGGGAACTCGAGTCAGAACAGTTTTAAAGACTGCGCCTACTTTGGTCAATATGAAAGCAAAGTTTGCCCCATTTATGTACTTAAAGTATGTTCCTGTCTTATTGTGGGTGGTTAAATTACAACATTAATTTAATAATTAATTATTATTTTCTTACAACATTTGGAAGATCAGGCCCCTTTCTTTCAGAACATGCTTTCTATTTTTTCTATTCTATATACTTGTTTTCTTTGTGTGTGTGTGTGTGTGTGTGTGTGTGTATAATATAATACATATATATACAGTGGGGGAAAAAAGTATTTAGTCAGCCACCAATTGTGCAAGTTCTCCCACTTAAAAAGATGAGAGAGGCCTGTAATTTTCATCATTGGTATACCTCAACTATGAGAGACAAAATGAGAAAAAAAATCCAGAAAATCACATTGTAGGATTTTTAAAGAATTTATTTGCAAATTATGGTGGAAAATAAGTATTTGGTCAATAACAAAATTTCATCTCAATACTTTGTTATATACTCTTTGTTGGCAATGACAGAGGTCAAACGTTTTCTGTAAGTCTTCACAAGGTTTTCACACACTGTTGCTGGTATTTTGGCCCATTCCTCCATGCAGATCTCCTCTAGAGCAGTAATGTTTTGGGGCTGTCGCTGGGCAACTGTTAGTTTTGACTGCTTTTATTGTCCTCATTTGTAAGTTGCTTTGGATAAAAGCGTCTGCTAAATGACTAAATGTAAATGTTAAATGGTAGAATTAACCTACTTTGCCTTTCTATTGATGTCATTTAAAATGCACAGGTTATTGGATAATACATCTTCATTGAAATGCTCTCTACAGTCCTCATACGTTATATGTACGCATATTTGCATTGCTTTCTCTCTGTAGATCCCACCTGCTCACATGCCACGATTGGTTGATTATGTACAGTGCCTACATTTCATGCTCAAGTATGAAAACAAAGCCAAAACCAAAATCTAATTTAAGGCAAATTAGAAATCCCGTCCAGGAAAAGGAGGATGTATGGTCACCCTATTGGATAAAATTAATCAATCGCTAAATACCCACAGTTTTACTCTCATCAGGAAATCAACCCACAAGTGGCTTATTTCTAGTCCTTTTTGTATAGTAAACAGGAATAAGGGAGTGTATTTTGCACACTTCATCTTTACTCGGGTTGCTCCAGGGGGATTGTCTTTGTACTAGAAATTCTGCCAAAGTAGCTTTGGATGAGATTTGCTAAATGAAGAATAATAATAATTAAAAGGTTTTCCTCATGTGTTGTCATCTGTTTCCTTAGCCATATCCGCACATGCTGCCGAGGCGTATAACTGGACAGAGGTACCGATTACAGCAGCCTCTGCCTCCCCCGCCCCCTCTGCCGCCCTACTACCCCGGCTTCTTACCATACTTCCTGTGAGAGTCTCTTCTACTCTTTACACACATTTTGCTGTATGAATTTCCCATTCTAATAATGGACATTGGAAGGTTATGATTTTATAAAGCTTTTGTGATATTTTTTTACTACAGTGAAAGAAAAGGTTGTTTGCATAGAGTGTATGCTAATGATTTATGTGTTTGTGAAACAGCTCGATGCTTCCTGTGCCTCCAACTGCTGTGGGTCCTGCTATCAGTCTGGACTTGGATGTAGATGATGTGGAGATGGAGAACTATGAGGTAAAGTTGAGAAAAGGTTAACTTTATAGAATTAGCGAGTTACTTTATAGAATTAAAGCTAATTTTGGAACAGAGATTGTCATTATCTTGTTACTGTTTGTGTGAAGAGTTTTTAACACATTTTTTTTTCTCAGGCGTTATTAAACCTTGCTGAGAGACTAGGAGAAGCGAAACCTCGAGGACTAACGAAAGCTGATATAGAGCAACTTCCGTCCTATAGGTTCAATTTAGAAAACCACCAATCTGAGCAAACTCTGTAAGTGTTCTCTGTTATATATGCCCTCGCTATATAATCTTGAAGGTTTGATTGTGACTTGGTATTGATGCTCCATTATCTTGGAATTTTCTTACAGGTGTGTTGTATGCTTTAGTGATTTTGAGTCAAGGCAGCTACTTCGAGTATTACCCTGCAACCACGAATTTCATGCAAAATGTGTGGATAAATGGTTGAAGGTAAGTGATGTTTTAATGCACAAAATCTGCAATAACTAACAGCAAAACATTGTAAATATTAGTGTTTTGACCGATATAAATACTTATGTAGACTATTGTTTAAATGTATGGGATCAGTAAGATTTTTGAAAATTTTACAATGATGTCTCTTATGCTCATCAGTGTTGCATTTATTTGATCAAAAATACAGGGAAAATAGTAATATTGTGAAATATTATTACAGTTTTAAACAACTGTTTTCTGTTTGAAAGATTTTAAAATGTAATTTATTCCCGTTATGGCAAAGCGACATGATCCTTTAGAAATCAATTTAATATGCTGATTTGGTGCTCGAGAAACTTTTCTTATTATTATCAATATTGAAAACAGTTGCTGCTTAATTGTTTTGTGGAAACTGAGATTTTTTTATTTTTTTGAGGATTCTTTGATGAAGAGAAAGTCTGAAAAAAAGCATAGCAATTTTATGGTGAAAGTCTTCACTGTCACTTTTGATAAATTTTATGCATCCTTGCTGAACAAAAGTTTTAATTTCTTTAACAAAAATGTTTTTTGTGTTTATAATTTTATGATAATTACTCAAATTCATTTAATCAATATGTTCTCACTTAATATGTAATTTTTAGTAAATATTGATTACATTTATTTACAAATTTACAAAAAAATGAAGACATCTGTTTTAATGCTGTCTTTAATTGGATAGGCAGCCAATGTATAGATCCATCAAAAATGTACGGAAACATCACTGGCTTGCAGAAATTAATTCGAAATATGTCTTGCAGACCAATCGCACCTGTCCAATCTGTCGAGCCGACGCGTCTGAAGTTCACCGCGATGTGGAATGAGTTCAGGTTTTTGTCCTTCACTGGAAAACAGCACAAATCCTTGAGTGTGTTCTGTGAGTGAGGACACCTGATCTCCAGCCAAACGCAAATCTACCCCCACCCCGCTCCCAACCCCACCTCTACAATAAGCAATCTCGGAATTTGTACGGAACCTGTTTGACCTCTGCTGTGTGTCATTGTGTGAGTTTCATGAAAGCTACTGCCGCCTATAGCTACTTCTGAGTTCTGGAATTGTGACTGGGTTTTTTTTGGTGGGGTTCTTTTCATCTTTTTTTTTTCATTAACCTGCCCTTGTTTTCGCAAATTCCAAAGATAACCTGTAATACGTGTTGTGTTGGCATATTCGTTTACGCAATTGAATATTCTCTAGTTGTTTGATCACAGATAATTAAAATCGTGCTTTAGTCTCGTTACGGACTGCGGGAGTGGGCCTGGATCATGGTGGTTTTTGGCTTTACTGTGCAATCAGACAAGTTTGTAGGACGCGGTCGCTCTGCCAGTGAACGACCATCATAGATGCATGTCTGTATAAGCGATGGGCTGAGGGACTCGTTAATAATCAATGTTTTGCAATAATGTATTGATCATTTGAATATCTTAATCCCGATTCTCTTTTATCTGCGAATGCTGTTGTGAAGGTGTGACTTTCAGTGGTTCAGAGTTCCAAGGCCTGAGGTTAAAGAGGGAAACGTAGACAAAAAGTACTGCAAAACGACAGACGTGAATCCATCGGGAAAATTCCCGCTGGGCTTTCACCACAGTCGTAGAGATATTGTGAAGCAGTGGCGTTTTTGCTGTTTGCTGGCAAGGCCAATAGGACTGGCCCATGAGAACACAGGGACGAGGACAGCACACTGCCTCTGCCAGCTCCCACCTGGCTGCACTGCACAACCCCCATCGATTCTGGACCGGCCCTCTTCATCCCGCTCCCTCACACTCAGCTAGATCCAGGAGAACATCTCACGGGCCCCGCGCGGACTGTTCTTTTAGACTAGCAATATTTGAATTAACGAGATCCACCACATTTCAGCCTCAAGAGGAACGTCGGGCGGTCTCCGTCTTGCCATTCTCACACCCGTTGCATTTCCGACGGAGGCCAAGGAGCTCGCATTTGCCTGTCCAGAATGACTTTTTGGGAAAGGGTGGAACACTTTGCAGAAAGCAATACGTGCAATGAGTGTGTGAAGTGAACGCAACATTTGACCTAGTTTTGGAGGACTAGGCTTTTTGTTTTTCCTCATGAGCCAAATAATCAATATACTCTACAAGATTTTAGCTCTGCCTTCTCTAGACCTTGACAAGCACAAACCTGCTACTAATCTTCAGACATCCTTTTTTTAAGTGGTGTTTATTTATTTCTTTCGAGAGAGTTTTTGAAGGATTTGGTTGGAATATTGAAACATCTTTAGTGCGTTTTAGTTTGCCTCCCGTTGGTAGGTCTCAGGCCATGTTCACAGTGTAAAGTGATGTGAAAGAAAAAACATTGTATGCATAGCCTTGGTGTGAAAGGTTGCAAATTATCGTCTTGTTTTTAAGACAAAAGAATGTTGAAACCCTCTGTATTTCTAGTTACGCCCTCTCCTGTGCGCCACTTGACTGTAGTCGTTCCACGAAGATCCCAGATAGGATTCGAAGGGTCGTTTAGGGTCGTTTAAAGAAAAAAAAATGCACTGTAAAATGTTTAACTCATGGTTCACTCGATTCCAAAAACAAGCCTGAACTTTGTTTGGGGGAAAACTATGAACTATTTGGGTATTCTTTTTTTGTTTGTTCCCCAAGTACTTTAATTATAGGACTTTTAAATATATATATATATTCATGAGACGTTTGTCCACTGAATAGTCATTGTAACTCAATGGACACACTGGCTTTCTCGGGTAAAGGGACTCTCTTAAGAGAATGTGAGAATCTTGTGTTTGCGTGCCATGTTTTAAAAAAAGCCATTGTAATGAATTTAATCCACACTTTTGATAAGTAATCTATGTATACATATCTGTTCACTGGCATATATTTTGAGTATAACGGAGAAAAAAAAAATCACTCAGGGCCTCTCTGTAATTGAAAAATAAAGGAAAACAGTCCATTTCAAATGGGATTGATGCCATGGAGATATATTTGGGTATTCTGGGTTGTTTTCCTCAGGCCATGCTTATTTTAAATGTAATCAACTTGAACTAATATTCCTTTTATAAATAGTGGTGAATATTATTCCATTATAAGACTGGCATGCAAAGAAAAAAAAAAGATGAAGTGACATGTTGTATCGAGTGAGAATAGGCTTTTCGTCACTGCAGCCGATCATTAGCGTATGTTACTCGAACCTGTTTTGCAGCTGTTGCGTTTTTCCGTGTTCTTGTACTTGAACCACACATAAAAGGTTGTAATACCGTTGAAAAACGTGCCACGGTGCACACCGTCCTACCTAGACCACTTCCAAGACTATTCTTACAGTGTTTGCATGATTTAAGGATTCAAAAAAGGTCAAATAAAAAATTAAATCTGTATTTTCAGTGAAAGAGATCTAGACGGGTGGGCAAGTATTTAATTGTGCATAATATGCATGCATGTCCAACCAGGTCCCAACTGGTTTTTTTAGGTAGATCTAGTTGGCTTTGGGTTCTGGGTGTAGAGGACTTTCTGCTCAGCTGATAACTGCCATGCGCTGTACTGCACACATTTGTAATAGAACCGAATGACTACAAGATTTTATTGTGCTTGTACTTGCAAAAGAAAAAAAAAATTAAGAATGATAATATAGGACATTTAAAATAACGTTAAGCTTGATGCCAGTGGGAAGCCAGTGGTTTTTTGAAGTGGAAAAATGTGATTTGATAGGCTCCTCACCACATTTGTGCTTCTATTGTTGCCTCAGTTACTGACACACTTGCCTGGAATCTAGATAATGGAAAGCCATATAGTAAAAAAGGTGCTAGATATTCTATATTTAGGTGTAATGCTACATTCACATAAGAGAATGCAATAGTTTGTTATGGGTCTCTATTCATACAGCATGCAGTGCTACTAGTACCCTCACGGTGGTCAGAAACAGTTAATAACATTATCAACATGGGTTTCAATTAAGAAAACAAAAAGAAAGAAAACTATTTAGCTTTACTTGTATGCGCTGGTAGACCATTTTAAAGAATAATATTGTTTTACTGCCCGAGTGATCAGATTCAATACATCTGCCTTAATAAATCAAAGTAGTAGGAGGTTTCGTGTGGGTTGAAAAACACGGCGTTATCACTCATTCACCAAAAATGAAATATTCTGTATATATTTCATACAGAAATATATGTACCTGTTGTACGGTTCTCTCTACCTTGAGCATCTGTAACTGTTATGGTTTAAAAATAAGTTGTTGATATACACGCAAGCACTTTTGCTTGGGGTAACCGGCTGTGGGCTATTTCTAATATATCCTTATTTAGATTTATAAAGGAATTTTTCATAATAACCAAGATTCCTTGAAAACCTCAGTGTTACCTGTATTGAATTACTAAAAAGAAAAGAAAAAAAACCCAGAGTTATGATGATAAATAGAATCTTGTAGTCTTTCTGTGATTCAACTAATAAATAATCTCACAGCTTGTGTGGTGGAAAATTGTGTTCCAATAAGCAGCTAAATACTTTAGGATTTGTGATTTGTTGATTGCTCCATAGATGCCACTGATTGTTTACCAATGATTTCTTGCTGTGGTGGGATAGTGGATTGTTTACTGTTCTATTCTCCTCCTGGCCTTTAGGGGTCAGTCATTGCCTGAACTCCAGACTACCCAGCCAACAACAGGGCCAGGGGCATGTGTTCTGTGTTAGGAAGATATTTTGCTTTGGTACTTGCACATTTACAGTTACCTCATTTTTGCCATGTTTGTATTTGGAGAAAAAAAAAAAAAAAAACCCCAATAAAAAAAAATTTAAATAAAAAAGCTAATATATATTATATATAGGAAATGGTTCTTAATGCTATAATTTTTTTTTCGTTCCATTGGAATCATTGTTTGTAGCATTTAACATATAACTAGTTATAGTGTATTATAAATACATCTGTATACTGATTGAAATTTGTAAGATTTGTACTTTTTTTAAATGAAAGTTGCAAGTTGCAAGTCTGCTTTACTGAGTAGTGCAATTCATTTTTTTTTTTTTTTTTTAATTGTGGCTGAGAGGGTTGTTCACTAATAAATGTGTGATGTATACTCCTACTACACTGACTAAAGGAATCACTGCTTTAAACGTATTGCACAATACAGATGTGTCGCAGTTCAGTTACTTGTCTGAGGGTTTCTGTGTCTCTAAAGAGTTAAAAGGTGAATCTCATAAAGAATGTTTAGGTCATATTTCCCCATTTAATCAAAAGCGATAAACCTTAATATGTTTAGACGGCATGCTAAATTTAACGTGGCTGTAAACAAGGCTGTGAGGTGTAGACTTAGTCTTTACAATGGCACGCACTGTATAGATATCCCAGATCATGTAATTTTCAGATTTGTTTCAGATTTGTTTTTCATCTTTCAGATTTAGTTTTTGTCTACTGAACTTTTTTTTTTTTTTCAGAAAGATGTTTCGTCAGCTGAACAATCCTGTTGTTAAACAACAGGACCTTCCATTGAATGCACTACTTCTGACACTTACAGCCTCGTTTTCATTCCTTTCAAAAATTGAATATTGTGCTACTCTTAAGTTCTATAATATTTTTGTATAAAAAATTATTCCGTGAAAATTTAGACCTAGTGATGCCAAGTGTGTCAACATATCATTTATAGGTCAATATCAGCCTCTTTTTTTTTTTTTTGTTAAATTTGTTTTAGGAAGAAATTGAACATTAATTGTTTCCTTTTTTCATCTAGGAACATCCATAGATTACTGCAAAAAATTTAATTATACATTTTTATATAAAATTTTTAACTATTAAAGTTACTTTGAGATGTGCAGTAAATTCTGTTTCGGACCACACGCACAAACGCTGTGGAATATTACCCAAATGTGACCCTGGACCACAAAATCAGTCATAAGGGTCAATTTTTTGAAATTGAGATTTATGCATCAACTGAAAGCTGAATAAATAAGCTTTGCATTGATGAATGGTTTGTTAGGACAGGTGAATAGATGAAAATCTGGAATCTGAGGGTGCAAAAAATATTGAGAAAATCGCCTTTAAATTTGTCCAAATGAAGTTCTTAGCAATGAATATTGCTAATCAAAAATTAGGTTTTGATATATTTACGGTAGGAAATTTACAAAATATCTTCATGGAACATGGATTTTTGGCATAAAAGAAAAATCAATAATTATGACCCATACAATGTTTTTTTGGCTATTGCTAAAAATATACCCCAGAGACTTGAGACTGGTTTTGTGGTCCACGGTCACAAATAATCATTCAAATTCGGGTTATGGCTCTGTGAGTTCTATTATCTAGCCAGCATCCCATAGGTACCTCCTTTAATTATAATACATATATTTATTTTTTTAATCAAACTGTATACATTTATCTATAGCAGATTTCAAAATGAACATTCATACAATATTATCATACTGTACATTATAACGTTGCCTAGATTCACCTCTAGCATACAAAAACAAAGTATACTTATAGATTTAAAATATTAGTCATAAGAAAAAAATATATCGCCATATTGCCTAAAATATCAATGCATCCCTATTTAGGATTTTATTTATTTTTTGCATTGAGACTATCAATTCATATTCTCAATGTTCATCGTTGCTATGATACAGTAATATAAATCAACCAGTCTGGACATGATTTATTAATTTAAATCAGAATAAAGGCAGTATAACAAATACTACCATGGTATATAAATACTGTAAATTTTTTCTACATTAAAATGTGAAAATGTCACTGCAAAGAAAAAACAAACAAATATTTAATTTAGTGAAATGTGACCCCATCTTCTGACCAGCTTTATGAGATTCTACCTAATAGTTCAAACTCACATTCAAACACTTAATGCTATAAAACAAGATAATCTGGGTTACTGCCTCTCCAATTACTTTATGAAATTTTACCATGAATGTTTTAAGTCATTATTTATCGCCATAATTTATTTCCACATACCTACAAAAATATTAAACTTGCCATGGCTTCAGGTTTGTGTAGCAGGCTGCAATGGCAAATGTTGAACATGCTTGAACCAAAACATTGTTAGTCAAACCACAACAACATTTTAAAATGTTTAATTTAGAATTGGAAAATGACATCTTTACATGACCAGAACCATCAGATGGACGACAGGCAACATAGGCATCTATGAATTACCACAGGCACACTATGGGCCTGGGCAGACTTGCACTATACTCTATATAGACAAAGCCACATGGAAAAGCTGTGGCCTTTAGTTTTCTTATTTGAATTCTCTTGAACCGCAAGCAACCCATCGGATCCTTTGCTGACAACCCTCTTTTGGTCGTTAGATGAGATACATTATATGGTCGACATTGATTTGCATTAAAAAAAGAAAAGAAAACTGTTGTGGCTTCCAAGCTTGTCCTTAAATATCTAGGTCATATATTTACAGGGCCGTTCACCTTGCACTCATTTTACAGAACAAAACTTCACTGCAGGGAAGAATGGGTTATTTTTCTTTTTAAATTCAGTAAAAGGTTTATCTCAGTGACCCCTCGTCCAGGCCATCAAACAGAAGAACAAACTGGAGGGGAGGCGGGACTTGAGTGGTGAGCAGGGGGTTAGCTAAATGTCAATCGTCTGTAAGGTCCTGCACAAAGAGGACTTCTGACCGGCTCAGACCGGCCTCCCTCAGAGTGAGGGGATTGGGCTGCTCTTCCGTCGGCAGGCAAGGCAGGACCCGGCGTGGGAAATTCGTTACTATTTGGAATTTCTCAGGGGTCTCTTTCAATGAAAACAGGAAGTCGTGTATTTCCTAAAAGGAGGAAAAAAGTTTTAGACACTGGTTTTCAGTTAAAGATTTAAAAGTTTTTTTTTTTTTTTTTAAATATTATGTATTGTATAATACAATAAAGCACTAAGCCTCGTTTTTCCCCAAACATCAGCGTTAAACCCCTGAAAACAGTGTCTGATGAGCCTGTGTTCTTGTCTTTAACAACAGACGCTGATATTCTGTTATGGTACTCCACACTGTACAAACAAGAAAAAATAAAAAAAAATAAATGAAGGGTGTTTACCGTCAATGACTGGCTGAAGAGGAATCTCCGCTCCACGCGGGTATCGTTGGGCAGTTTGAACACTATTTTGACACTGTCTGGGTCGTCCAGGGGCGGCTCAGGAGGAAGACACTCAGACTTGCGCTCCTTCTCTTCTTCCAGTGTCTGTAATTACATAATCATTAGGAAGTCATTAAGTGTGATTAATCATAGCTACAGATGCCAGAAATGTGACGGGCATCATCAACAATTACATGTGATGTGCAAAGAAAGGGACCGCAGGTCGTCGGCAGGCAAGGCAGGACCCGGCGTGGGAAATTCGTTACTATTTGGAATTTCTCAGGGGTCTCTTTCAATGAAAACAGGAAGTCGTGTATTTCCTAAAAGGAGGAAAAAAGTTTTAGACACTGGTTGGTTTTCAGTTAAAGATTTAAAAGTTTTTTTTTTTTTTTTAAATATTATGTATTGTATAATACAATAAAGCACTAAGCCTCGTTTTTCCCCAAACATCAGCGTTAAACCCCTGAAAACAGAGTGTCTGATGAGCCTGTGTTCTTGTCTTTAACAACAGACGCTGATATTCTGTTATGGTACTCCACACTGTACAAACAAGAAAAAATAAAAAAAATAAATGAAGGGTGTTTACCGTCAATGACTGGCTGAAGAGGAATCTCCGCTCCACGCGGGTATCGTTGGGCAGTTTGAACACTATTTTGACACTGTCTGGGTCGTCCAGGGGCGGCTCAGGAGGAAGACACTCAGACTTGCGCTCCTTCTCTTCTTCCAGTGTCTGTAATTACATAATCATTAGGAAGTCATTAAGTGTGATTAATCATAGCTACAGATGCCAGAAATGTGACGGGCATCATCAACAATTACATGTGATGTGCAAAGAAAGGGACCGCAGGTTTTAAGTTAGAGACAGTATATGCAACTGTTCTCAAGAGTATGAA